TCTCTCTCTCTCTCTCTCTCTCTCTCTCCCTCCCCCCGTGTGAAAGAAAGCAGATTGCGTGAGAACATCATTATAGAGAATATTATTTTTCTTCGCATATTTCTTCCTCAGAGATTACATTTATGTGAACTACACATAAATAGATGCTAACAACATTGAGTGTTAAAAACATTATACATAGTAAAACGTTATAATGTATTACTTTCATCGTAAATATATTATTCACACACAGGTAGGATAATTTGCAGTAATATTTCGTGCCGTAAGAGAGGAAGCTGTGTCTCTCTTCGTAAATCTCTTCGTTTTCCTGGCAGTAAGAAGATGCGTCGTATAATTATTGTATTGACCTCGTGTCAATGCCACGTCCCGAGGATAATAACTAACATTCGTTCACTTTCTTCACTATTCATCTCTTTTTTTATTAGTCTCGTCAATTAGTCAATTGCCCTGTGTAAATCCTACCCCCCTTCAATAGTGATGACAAATGCGGATCCATCATGGCATTTTCAGAGTTTTCGTACATGTACTTATTAGCATACAGTGAAGTGTTCTTCGATAACATTAACTACCTAAATTATTGTCATCATCACGAGACATATAGAAGTATGGATGTATCGACATGTGAACAGCCGAACACTAAAATATCATAACAAATAGAATTTTATATATATATATATATATATATATATATATATATATACCTAAGGTCACTCTCTCATCCATCATACCATTAGCCACGTAGAAACATTTAGCTAGCAGCATGTATAACTTTAACAATGCCCCATTGTTCAATCGATTCGATCTCATTCTCTCAGATGGTGTGCTGCAAACTTTGTCGTTTCTCGTCTCGACGTCGAATTGAAAGAAAGGAGTCACACACCTTACTAAGGGAAAACACAACTCTGCTCAAACTACAAGAAAACAGTAATACTTTTCTCTGCTTGTAGTGCACGGCATCGAACGCAATTGCAGCACAAGTATAGCGATTGCAACGCAAGAGATCATGAGAAATTTTATTGTACGTGAAATTTGCGTATATATTCACGGGAGGGGGGGGGGGAACGAAAGAGGATCTGATGAACAGAAAGTGTAAAGGGGAAACAGAGATCCTGCAGAATGAATGAAGGAAAAAAATGAGGAAGAAGACATACAACTGTCATCTCTATGACGAGAAAATACTGATAAGAGAATATCGAAGTGTGTCGTTTTCAATCTGCCTGGAAAATTATCTACCACTGGTCGAATTATTTTCATTGCTAGCGACAATTATATACTTCATTCGAAATATTTT